ACTTGAGTACAGACCTGAGAGAGAGATTAGTGGTAACTGAAAACAGAGAGAAAACCGTCCCCCTGGTTTCTTAGGCTGCTGGGAGCACGTCAGGCCGGGAGCTGCTGGCCTCATTTGCCTACAGCGGGCAGGGCCAGTGGTCCCTCAGCAGGGGCCTCTCCTTGTCCAGCTACCTTCTCCCTCCAGTTGCTCTTGGTCCTCCTCACTCATTGCTGCTCATCCCGTCTCCCCTGCCTGCAGTCCAAAGATCTTCCAGAAGACCAAGTGCAGCATCTGTAACAGTGCCTTGGAGTTGCCGTCGGTCCACTTCCTGTGTGGCCACTCCTTCCACCAGCACTGCTTTGAGAGCTACTCAGAAAGTGATGCTGACTGCCCCACCTGCCTCCCTGAAAACCGCAAAGTCATGGATATGATCCGGGCCCAGGAACAGAAGCGAGATCTTCATGATCAGTTCCAGCACCAGGTGGGGACACGTGGGCTGGCTCCTGGCGTGTCCTGACACTGGGGCCCTGGAGCATCTCAGCTCTCATACTCACTGTTCTTCCTCTCCCCTGCAGCTCAAGTGCTCCAATGACAGCTTCTCTGTGATCGCTGACTACTTTGGCCGAGGTGTTTTCAACAAACTGACCCTGCTGACTGACCCTCCCACGGCCCGGCTGACCCCGAGCCTGGAGGCCGGGCTGCAGCGGGACCTGCTCATGCACTCCAGGAGGGGCACTTAAACAGTTTGTGGGAAATCGTGATGGTAGAGACACAGCTGGACGTCCACAGGGAACTGAGGCAGGCAGTTGCAGAGCCAGGCAGACATACTCTGATGCCACAGCCCTCGATACCAAAGGGGGCTTTCTTTTCCTGCCTCCTCCTGCCAGCCCAGCCTCTCTCCTCCTAAGCAGCAGTATAGAATGTTCCAGAGCAGCGGGGGAGGCACCTCAGCCACCTCCGAGTATGGACAATAGCTGCTTTCTTCTGTGTCTGAGAGCACCAGGCTGTGCTTGGGTCCTTGCTCTCAGTCTATAAATAAAAGAATATAATGATTTGGGCATTGAAGGGTTTTTTCCTGGGGACTTACTGGTAATCCTTAACTCTGCATAAGATACTTCCTTCCCTCTACTTTCCTAGTGCCCCACTTCCCTTTGGGGAGATTTCCTAGGGAAGCACTTTGACCCCGTCCCCTCCCAGGAAGAGGGGCCTGTGGCATCAAGTACATACAGTCCAGCTGATTGCAGGACTTCTGTGGAAAGCCTGGGGACCGAGCTAGAGCAGGCTGCTCTGTGGTTCTGCTGGTCTCTATGACTCTTGTTTGGGTTCAGTATTCAAGCGGAAGGGGGACCAGCAGTTAGCGTAATGGCTATGTCGCTGAACTCCCATGTAGCTGACCGCGGTTCAAGTCCTGGACCCAGTGGCTTAAACTCACACCTGGTGCATGTGCGTGCATGCCCAAGATCCCAAGAGGAGAATGGAGGAGAAGGGATTGTGGCATGGCCATCCCCCCTGGGGGGTGATTGCTCGCTTTTTCTCTCTGTCTTTCTGGCAAGTACATGCGCCCTATAGCAGAAACCTAAAAAAAAAAAAAAAAAAAAAAAAAAGGAAGGCAGACTGATAGGGAGCCTTGGCATTGGCCTGCCTTCGAATGGGTAAGCTGGTGTCTTGTAGTCAGGACCAGATGCTCAACAGAATAAGAGGGGACCAGCAGTTAGTGTAATGGCTATGTCACTGGACTCCCATATATTCGACCCCGGTTCGAGTCCTGGACCCAGTGGCTTAAACTCACGCTGGGTACGTTGTGCGTGTGTGCCCAAGATGCTGAGAGGAGAAGGGATTACAGCTTGGCCATCCCCCCTAGGGGATGATTCTTGCTTTCTGTCTGTCTCTGTCTCTCTCTCTTTCTCTCTTTCTGGCGAGCGCACATGCCCTACAGCAAAAACCTCTCCATAAAAAGGCCTTTTATTCAAACACTTGTCCCTCTGAAGGTGTCAGCTAATTTTTTTTTTTCAGAATTATTTTGGGACCAGCAGTTGGCTTAATGGCTATGTCACTGGATTCCCATGTAGTCGGCCGCGGTTCGAGTCCTGGACCCGGTGGCTTAAAACTCATGCCTAGCACGTGTGCACGCGTGCCCAAGATCCCGAGAGGAGAATGGAGGAGAAGGGATTGCGGCGTGGCCATCCCCCCTGGGGGGTGAATTCTCGCTTTCTGTCTCTCTCTCTGTCTGTCTGGTGAGCGCACGCGCCCTATAGCAAAAAACTCTCAAAAAAAAAAAAAGAATTTTATTACTTTTTTTGAGAAGTTTTTGCCATAGGGCATGTGCGCTTGCCAGAGAGACAGCAAGAAATCATCCCCTGAGGAGATGGCCACGCCATAATCCCTTCTCCATTCTTCTCTCGGGATCTTGGGCACATACACGCGCTCGCGAGCCCAGCATGAGTTGCCTGGGACTCAAACCGTGGTCGACTTCGTGGGAGTCCAGCAATATGGCCATTATACCAACTGTTGGTCCCGAATTTTATTATTACTTTTTAAATTTGATCAGAGAGAGAAAGAGTGAAAGCTAGAAAGCCACCAGGTCCAGGACTCAAACCACAGTTGACCATGTGAGAGTCTAGTGCCTTAACTACCATGCCACCTGCTGGTCTCCAGCTAACATTTACATTACGGGCATCCCTGTATAATTTGACACACTGTCAGGAAATTGCTTCTATGGGGTTAATGGAAGGAAGTAACTTGCACATTGTGGATTAGGCTGTGGTTGTAACGGTTTTATTTCCCCCATGAGCGAGACAGGAGACAGCACCTCCAAGGCTTTTCATGCTGCGATTGACCCGTCTCAGCCAGTGTGGGATCCGCGGCACACACCTGCAACGAGTATTAGGGAGGTTTCTGGACACGAACCCAAAACCTTCCCAAGTGGGTCAGCCTTCCGGAGTGTACTGCTCTACTGCTGCACCACTGTTTGGCCCTGCAGACAGTACTCAAAGAGGCAGGACTGTAGCTGAGTGGACTTTGGATCAGCTGACCTCGGTTTGGCTCCTAGATGTGCTGTTTGACTGAAGGCAACTTTGGCCTTCCCTGAACCTCGGTTTATCAATACAGTAGAGATTGTAACACCTGCCTCATGCAGTTATCAGGAAAGCCTGAGGAGCGGACAGGTGCCTCTGTACAGCGGTCAGGGCACGGGTGTTCCATTCATGACCACTAGTGCAAGAGGGAAAAGCACTTTGCCTAAGAAGCCCTTCTCCAGCTAACGACAATGTGTTGTTGGCATTCCCACTTCACAGTTACTTGACTTTGAATATCCCTGGTCCAGTTTCTTCCGTTTTAAAAGTGGAAATGCTGGGGCCGGACATGGGACAGCAGTAAAACGGGACATTGCGACGCAATCCCACACACAAGGCAATCTGCTAAAGTCTAGAGACCTCCCTGAGTATGCCAGGCATCCCCATGGCCAGATTCCGATGATCTCCAAATGGCTAAAGATGGGCAGTTAGGGACCAGTGGATGGCATAGTGGTTACATCCATGTAGTCGACTGTGGCTGAGTCCTAGACCCAGTGGCTTAAAATTCACACCGACTGCGTGTGTGTGTGTGCGCGCGCGCGCGCAAAAACCCAAAGGA